TCCACTCCACTCCACTCCACTCCACTCCACTCCACTCCACTCCACTCTATTCTACTCTACTCCACTCCATTTCGCTACCTGGCCCGTTTACACGACACAAGAGCATGTACCTTCGTTGCAGGCCAGGTGTGAGAAGAAGGCGATGATCTGCACTGTCTTCCCGAGGCCAGCTTCGTCAGCCAAGATGCCGTTCAGCTTCTTCTTGTACAACTTGGCCAGCCAATCGAGGCCAATCTTCTGATACTCTCGGAGGGAGCCGTACAAGAGGGGAGGGGTGTTGTATTTGACCTGCAAAAAGTTGGGCAAACACATTTCTTCTTCTCCGGGACATGGTGCTGCTCTCTTCATTACCCTTGTCCTCGACTTACAACAGGTCATTTTAAGGACTGTTCCAACTGACAACGGCACTGAAAAAAGGGACCTTTTTCTACACTTAGGACTGTTGCCATTGCAGCATCACTGTGGTTACAGAAATCAAAATCCAGACGCTCACATGACCATGGAGATGCTGCAACGGTCGTTAAGGGTGAAAAACGGTTGTAAGTTAAATTTTTTTTTCAGCACTGTCGTAACTTTGACCATATTCAGAGTTTTGCAGCGTTAATTCAGTGCCAGAAAAATAAACACAGATGGCTGATGCTTCATTTAACGTCTTTATAAACATAATAAGTAGATTTTACAAACCAGTTGTAGATTTCTCCAACAGGGAGCGAACTCAGACAGAAACATGATGCAAGCAACTTACAGCAGCACAGAGACAGAGAGAACTTCCAATTTTACTTTAGTTCAGCAAGCAAGCAGAAGAGAGAAGCAGTTTCATCTTCAATAGACAGACTCAAAGCTGAACATAGCTTCAGAACTGCAGAGCTTAATATAGAGCCATGCCAAGGATACTTTTAGTTTCAGTTTCCAGCCAGGGTTGCCAGATCACAGTTTGGCTCCGCGGCCAAACTCAAGTCAAAATACGGCCAAATTCGGCCAAATTATTTTTTGCTCATGGTGACGCGCATGCGCGAGGGAAGGAGAGCGCCAGAGGACGCGCTTGTCCACCTTTTGCTCATGGTGACGCGCATGCGCGAGGGAAGGAGAGCTCAGGATGGGTGGGGAAGCCGAGGGGCGTGGCGTTGGAACGAGCCGTAATAGGAATGGGTGTGGTGTTGATGGAGGAGGAGCCGCCCCTGCTCAGGTCACAGGCGGGAAGGGGGCGTGGCCGGGCGCCAAGGTCCCGAAGGGGTGTGTGACGAGAGTTGAGAGAAAGCGGGCGTGTCGGAGAACTGAGAGGACGCGCTTGTCCTCCTTTTGCTCATGGTGACGCGCATGCGCGAGGGAAGGAGAGCGGCTGGGTTGCCATCTGGCCGATTTCACAGCCAAGCAACTTTCGTACGACATCATTTTTTTCACAGCCAAGCAGATAGAAATACGGCCAGATTTCTCGAATTTGGGCGGAAAAACAGCCAGATGGCAACCCTGTTTCCAGCCTAGGCTACTTCTAGTTTCAGTTTCCAAAACAGTCCTCATTGGCTGACTTAGTTGCTATGCCTCTTCATTGACTGATCTTGTTACCAAGCTCTATTCCAGTTCATGAATATACTCTGACAGACCACTAAACAAAAGGCGGCAACTTCTTATAAAGAAAATGTATATAAAATGTTTTACATATGGCACTTACCGCTTGTGAGGTTAGCTAAAATGTTTAAAAACATGTCTAGCAAATGTTGGAAATGTAATCCAAAAATAGGCACATTTTATCATATGTGGTGGACTTGTGCTAAAACAAACAAAAAAATGGGTGGGGGGGCGCAAAAATACGTAGGATGGCTAGAAAAGATAATATGGAAACATGTAGACTTTAAACCTGAACTGTGTGTTTTTTTTTAATTAGGGATCATATCATAAAAGTTTGATAAGAGAAGTATGTATTTGGTATTACATGTTTTAACAGCAGCGAGGATTATCTTCACACAATATTGGAAAGATGAAGAGACACCGCGAGATGAAGAGATAATTAAGAAGATATTAGACTGTGCAGAAATGGACATACGGACATTGAAGATCAAACCGAAAGAAGACACAGAATATTATCAAACTTGGAACTTATTTTACCAGGGGTTGGAAAAAAGGGGTGGAGAGTAAGAATGGCATTTGTATTGTTAAGCAAATTAAATACCCAGACAACACGGTGTTTATTAAGCACTAAGGGATGTAATTCATAGAAAATTAATATATATATATTTTTAAAAGGTTGTAAGTCGAGGATTGCCTGCCTACCACCAGTGAAATCAAGACCAACCCATGCAGGTGTATTTACCGCAGTGGTGATCCGGGCGCTGCCTTTCGGCAACAGAGCTTCTGCTGTGGCCGCCACTTCGGCTATATCTCGCCCGCGGTTCTTGCTGGCCATCATTCTCTCGGCCCCCTTATATTGCTCGATGCTGAGGAGAGATTCGATGGAGATGACCTCCTTTTGAAGGAGTTCCCTTTCGGCTGGATGATCTTCCATTTCTAAATAAAGAATAAATGCTTTAAAAACAAAACCTCTTGTTTTTATTGTTTTAATTAGCGAGTGCTATGCTGGATATTTTCATTCCTTCATACATAGGCGATCTTCCATTTTTACATAAAGAATAAATGCTTTTAGTTTAGTTTACTTTTATTGTCATTGCACCTCGTACAACAAAATCAAACACCATCTTCAGTGCACATCATGACCATGACCTCGAAAATAAACACAAACATACTTCCTTCACCCTCCACACATTGAACCAAAAAATACCAACACCACACCAACACTGCACTATACAGCAGAATTCAAAAGAGCTGCTGCCCTGGGATAGAAGCTGATTTTTTTTGCCTATTTGTCCTTGTTTTTATTATTCTGTACCATCTGCCAAATGGTAATAGTTCAAAAAAAGGGGGTGCCCAGGATGAGATGGATCTTTGAGAATATTTTGAACTTTCTTAAGGCAGTGGGAGCTATAAAGCTCTTCCAAAGAGGGGAGAGGGCAACCCAGGATCCTCTGGGCAATGACATGAACCCTCTGGAGTGCTGTCCTATCTGCCACTGTGCAATTGGCAAACAGGTGCAATAAGTTAAGATACTCTCAATGGTGCAGCAGTAGAAGGTCACCAGCAGTTTTTCATTCAGTTGTTGTTTTCTGAGAAGTCTCAGGTAGTCTAATCTCTGCTGGGCCCTTTTGACCAGGGCTACAATGTGAGCACCCCAGGTCAGGTCCTCTTTAAAAAAACAAACCAACCCTGTTTTTATTGTTTTAATGAGTGCTATGCTAGATACTTTCATTCCTTCATTCATAGGTGATCTTCCATTTCTAAATAAAGAATAAATACTTTTTTTAAAAAAAACCCTGTTTTTATTGTTTTAATGAGTGCTATGATAGATAATTTCATTCATTCATTCATTCATTCATTCATTCATTCATTCATTCATTCTTCATTCATCCAACTGGTATGCCACTCGTCTTGCCGAAAGCCAGTCACTGAATAAAACACTAGAACAATAAATATTTAAAAAGTCAATTTAAATAAATCTAAGCAGGATGGAGAGGGAGGGAGCAGAGCGCACAGAGAGACGAGGTGGGGTGTTCTCTATCCCATCAGCCACCTCCAATGGGCCAAACCCCCATTAGGGCCACGGGCTAATTGTCTTCAAAGGCCTTTCCGAAAGCCGAAGGATGGAAGCAGATCTCAAAATGGCCCCGGAATACCTCAAAATGCCATATATACACCGAGTATTGCATTAACGGAGCGGAGGGATGGAAAGCTGAACCAATCCAGCTGGTCCCTTCTAGGAAAGCATTTGGAAAGGAAAAAGTGCCAGGACGTACCTTCTTCACTCGTCTCCTCTTCCGGCTTTGGCTGGGGCCAGTGAAAGTTCTCGGAGAAGGCTCCTTCGTACATCTTCACCAGATCATCCAAAGGCAGCTCAGCTACGAGCGAGATGGGGGGCAAAACAAAATTAACAGAATAACAAGAGTTGGGAGGGACCTGGTAAGGTCATCTAGTCCAACCCCCCCCCCCCGCCCCCACCCCTGACCCAAGCAGGAGACCCTGCACCAATTTCTGACAAGATGGCAGTCCAGTCATTTCTGGAAAGCTTGCAGCGATGATAAAAGCTTCCCGCAACTTCTGAAGGCAACTTCTGCTCCACGGGTTGATTTTTATTTACTTTGATGATGGCGGTGACGGTGATGAGCTGTCAGGGAAGGTTGCAACTAGTGATCCCGTGACATGGGATCCTACGACTGTCATAAATGTTGAATATTTTTGGTTATCCGGGTAGAGTTGCCTGGAAGTCGAGTCACGACAAACTGGGTTTATTTTCTTGTTGGTTTGAGACCCTTCGCTGCCCGTCCAAGCGGCTTTTTCACTGCCACGCACTTTGGGGAAGAGATCTGAGGTTGGTGCAGGATTACACCCTGAGAATTTTACGAGTTGGCACGTGCCAACAACTTAAATGAGAGTATTTGCAGCTGAGGGTTAAAATGAGGACTCCTTGGTGCTCTCTCAGCTTGTTTTCTTGCAGACATTTCATTATCCAAGCTAGATAACATCATCAATGCTAGAAGGGAGTGAAGTTTGCAGGGGGAAGGAGGAGGAGGAGGAGGAGGAGGAGGAGGAGGACGACGACGACTGTGGGGTCTTTGGTTCTCTCTGAGCTTGGTGGCTTTCTTGCAGATGTTTCATTACCTAATTTAGTAAAAGAACTATGCTCAGAGAGCACCTCCTTCCAACAACTCCCTGTCTACTCAGATTTCCCTAACCCAGGAGTCCCCAAACCGGGCCACAGCACAGTATCAAGCCATGATCTATTCAGAATCAGGCTGTGCAAGTAGTGGACTGGTCTGCACACACACACACACACACACACACACACACACACACACAGAGCTCATCTTGCAGTGGACCTGCGCTTGCATACGCGTGCGTATGGGCCACCGCTCATGTGAGTTAAGCTGCACACGCGTTTTGAGTGCCAGCCCACCACATGTGCGGCCCAGTTTCCCTCTCCCCCGCAACTCCCCAGCTGCAGAGGTTAGGGATCGCAGCTTGCCCAGACCGAAGAAGCTGCTTGGATGGGCGGCAAAAAGTCTCGAATCAACAAGACAATAAGTCCATAGTTGCTGTGACTCAACTTCTGGACAACTGTTGTTAATTGTGAACTGGCTGCCAAGTGTCCAAACCACCAGAGATAGCGCTGGGATGGCTGGACTGTCGACCGGTCAGACCCACTACTCCGTCAGCACAGTCGTAACCGTGAACGAACGCTGAATGAGGGGTTCTTAACCGAGGACTACCTGTATTTTATAACTACCTATATTTTACTACCTATATATCACATCCTGGACGTAAACTGTTTCAACTCCTACCCTCAAAACGACGCTATAGAGCACTGCACACCAGAACAACTAGACAAAAGGACAGGTTTTTTCCCCGAACGCCTTCCCTCTGATAAACAAATAATTCCCTCAACGCTATCCAACTATTTACTAAAACTGTATTACTATTCTTCTTCTCATCCTTCCCATTACCTATCTCTTCCCACTTATGACTATAATTGTGTTGTCTGTATCATTACAATTTATATTGTTTTATTTAGTTTCCTAGTATGATTTGATTGTTTATTTAGTTACCTATGACTATCACTAAGTATTGTATCTTATGATTCTTGATGAATGTATTTTTTTCTTATTATGTATAATGACAGCATATGCACCAAAGACAAATTCCTTGTGTGTCCAATCACACTTGGCCAATAAAGAATTCTCTCCTCTCCTCTCCTCTCCTCCCTTCCCTTCCCTTTTCTATACTGCCCTATGGCAGTGGTTCTCAACCTGTAATCCGTGGACCTCTGGGGAGGCAGCGATATCATCACAGGGGCTCCGCGAAGGCTTGAAGAAATTTTATTATTTAAATCTTGAGTTATATCTTGGGGGTTTGTGGCCACAAAAGGTATTTAAAGGGTGTCAGTGTGAAAGAAAAGTTTGAGAAACACAGCACCTGTGGAAAAACAGGGCAGCCGTCGTCACACTCACCTTCCTTCACCAACGTGGACAGCTCCATCTGATGGTTGACATTCCCTTCCTTCTTTTCCTGCTCTTCTATTGTCTCCTCTTCATCTTCCACTGAAAATAAAATGTCAGGCCCACACGGGTCAAGCCAAAGAGAGGAAGGGACAGCCGTATGCCAGAATATTCTACCTGCCTGCGGGCATTTTTGTGCAAAGGGACAACATTTACCTGTATTTTCTAAGCCAAACAATTTTATAGGCCGCCCACTTTAAGATGCCATTTTGGGTGGGTGGGTGAGTGGGCATTGCAGAGTCCTCCCTTATAGTCGGGCTGAGGGATACAGATTTAAATTTTAGGAATTTCTTGTTATCATATCATGTCAGGCATTACTAAACCGCTCAGACCATTATCACAATTACAGAATAGCTGTAACTTTTACGTCCAGAAATTTTACAGTTATTTTAGAAATTCCAGTGGGATTTGCAAAGGCATCCATTCAAGCTGAAACCACCTTACGTTTTTCAAGTTATATTTTTAAGCTGCTTTTTTAGGTAAATCGAAAGCAGCAAATCTGTTAGGAAGAATATTTCTGGGCCATTGTTTTGCTTCATTTCTTTCTCTCCGATACAGCAGATACTTTGAGATATCACAGCCTCAAGGAATACAGCCCGGCCTCCTCTATCTTAATGTCCCATCAATAAATATAGCTGCATCATATATATTAAATAGTGAACTCCATATTTGATAAGGGCCATCTTTATATATCCAGCATGGCCAACTCAAAGTATTATTAAATCTCACAATTTAGAAAACCCAGCTTTTTTCATTTTTGAGTGGAGGGAAGAACTAAATCAGCCATGCAAGCATAGTTGAGAAGGCTTCGTCAAAGAATTCTGGTTGATTCTTGAGGGAGTGAAAGCAGAACAGTATTTTCCCTTTGGAATTAAAACAGAATCCCAAACTGGAGCTGTACTATTTTGTTTCAGTCCCAAAGGTGTTTTTTTTTTTTTTTTCAAGAGGCAACTGGATTTCCTTGTTTTGCCTTTGAAGATGTTTCGTTTCTCATCCAGGAAGCTTCTTCAGCTCTGATTGGATGGGTGGCAAAGGGAAGGATTTATATTGTTTGCGGACAGCTGGTCATTTGCATCCTTTTAGAGAGTTGTTGAGGCCACTTGGAGATTGTTTGTATCCTGAGTGGTGCAAATGGGTGTGGAGCTTTCTTGGAACTGCTGAAAGGACTGTGTTGTAGACTGGAGATAGACGATGTCGTATCCTTCCCCGTTGAGAGGGGGCTGTTCAATTTTGACATCGATGGCCTCGTTGACCCTTCTTTCAAGCCAGCGGTCCTCTCTGTCCAAAATGCGGACTTTGTTGTCTTCCTAGGAGTGGCCAGTCAAAGCTGAAGAAGCATCTTGGATGAGAAGCGAAACGTCTTCAAAGACAAACAAGGAGGTCCAGCTGCCTCCTGAAAAAGCCCCTTTGGGACAACCATGACCTGGAGGGCTGAGAATCTCCATACATATTTTGGTTCAGGTTTCACAACTTCTGGCACGCGGGTGGAGCAATGCTTAGTACATGAGATGAAAAAGGTGCATCACAACCCATGACCAACCTTCGTCGTCTGTTAGAGACATGCTTGCTTTTCTTTTTCTTCTACAGGACCACGAACCCTACAAAATGAAGAGGTATGTATCAATGTTGTGCACCTGTTTTGGAAGAGTCCTTCCCACTAGCCCTTTCACACATGACTTATTGTTAATTACCTTAAAGGAGAAACAGAACAGGACCAACACACCCCAAAATTGTAAAGATGAGGATGAGGAAGATCTCCATCAGGCGCCACCCCCCACCCCCCCATGGAAAACAACTGCCTACCACAGCAGACATTATTGAAAGAGACTGACATATAGGTAGTTTTGATGTTAACCAGCTTTCTTCTTCAAAGATTATTAAAGGAAACTGACCAACAATGGCTTTGTGTTAGACATCTTCCCACTATATTCTTTACATACAAGAAAGCTGTTTCCTGGAAGCAGATCTACCACTCTTCAAATATACTTCTTGAAAAATTGTAATCTCAATAATAGTCAAACATGCAATACGTCCAGAGTTATCAACAGGGAGACGGGAGGAAAAAAAATCCCTTACCGATTTGTTTCCTTTTTCCAGAAGGATGTCCTCTAAGTGCCTCGAATCTTTACCTGCAAAACGCACCTTTTAAGTCAACCAACTAAATATATTAGCCTAGCATGTTAATTCGGCCAGGAGCAAGAAAATAAACCCAGTGAAAAGATAACGTTTAGAAAAGAATGGAGCTGGAAGGGCCCTTGGAGGTCTTCTAGTCCAGCCCCCTGCTCAAGCAGGAGACCCTATATATCATTTCAGACAGGTGACTGTCCAATCTCTTCTTAAAAACCTTCAGTGATGAAGCACCCACAACTTCTGGTGGAGGGCTGTTCCACTGGTTAATTGTCCTCATTGTTAGGAAAGTTTCTCCTTAATTCCAGGTTGCTTCTGTCATGCTCCTGTTAGAATCTGATTCTGAGGGAGAGGAGGAACAGCCGACAGGGAGTGGGAGGTTGTGGAGGAAACTGGGGAAGGGCACAGGCCGCCTGGGCATTCAGAGGAAGACCCAGGCCCATGTCCTCTTCATTCTAGAGCCCGCAGGGAGGAGTGGATCAGGGAGAAACGTGAATAGCGTGGTCTACGGGGGAGGAAAGGGCCCTGATCCCCTTCATGGGCTGCCATTGTGAGGATTGTTTAAAAGGACAAACTGTGTATGGCCCAGAACTGGAAGCAAACTGTGCATTATTCTTGTCGGATCTTATCTGTGTTTTGGCTTCCTCCCAATTGTGGCTGCTGCGTTCTCTCGTAGAAGTCTGCAATTAATCATCCTTGCCTGCCGTAGTAATTCCTTCAGTGTGGTTTGTGTTGGTTTTTTTAATTTCGAATTAACTTTGGGTGCGGACTGCATTTACTCCCTCCGTAAACTGTTTTCTTTAAAAGTTTGATTTCCAGCCGAGGATAATTGGACATTGGGGCCAAGTTGGAGGCATTAAAGGAACTTTATTCTATTTTTGTGACTTGGTTATTTTTGTGGCCTGTCCCGGGTCATCACAGCTTCCCTCTTCCCTCCCTTAGTTTCCATCCACTGTTTCTTGTCCTGCCCTCTGGTGCTCTTCTTCTTTGGGGCAGCCCTTCAAATACTGGAATGCAGATATCATGTCAGCCCTAATTCTTCTTTTCTTGAGACTAGCGAAACCCAAAACCTGCAGCCGTTCTTCGTATGGTTTAGTCTCTAGAACTCGGATCATCTTGGCTGCTTCTCTCTGCGCTCTTTCCAGAGTCTCCAGTCTCAACATTACATATTCCCACCACAGGGCAAATGGGCTTGCATCAAAGTTTTGGAGAGGCCCCTTTGCAAGGACGGATAAAAGGATGTCACAGGGAGCCCTCGGCTTACAACAGTTCATAGAGTGACTGTTCAAAGCTGCAACGGCACTGGAAAACAGCGACTGATGACTGTCTTTCACATTTACGACCAGCGCAGCAGCATCCCCGTGGTCACATGATCAAAATTCAGAGGCTTGGCCACTGGCTCGTATTTATGACAGTTTGCAGTGTTCACGTGATCCCCTTTTGCGACCTTCTGATGAGCAGAGCCAATGAGAAAGCCAGATTCGCTTAACGACCGTGTGACTAAATTAACAACTGCAGTGACTCTCTGAACAGCTGCGACAAGAAAGGTCGTAAAAACGGGGCAAAATTCACATAACAAACCTTTCGCTTAGCAATGGAAATTTTGGGCTCCATTGTGGTTGTAAGTAGAAGACTACACGTATACTCTGATAGATTTAGTCTGCCACCCACTAACCTTTATTCTGATCCTCACCAAAATTGTAACTCAAGGATTACCTGCAGTTCAGAATATATAGCACAGGGACCACATATGGTGAGAATAGAAACAGGTTTCAGGCAGAATTATTTTTTTAAAAATGAAACCCAACGAATCCAGCTTTCCACTTAAAATCATGCCTAATAAACAAGGGGGGGGGGGAAATGAAATGCGCCCCAAAAGTTAAAATAATAAACTAGGACGAAGGGATACCAGGATCATTGCAGCTCAGCAGGATCTGACCATTTTAAAAGAGTTCTTTTTAAAAAGCCACTGTTAACACTGAGCAAGAATGCGTTTTCTGGTTTGCAAAACGCAAAATGACACCACCCTGATGACGTCACCTAGTTTGGTAATGAAACGTCTGCAGGAAAAGCCCCCAGCTCGGAGAGCACCAAGGACCCCCACCCCCTTCCCCGCAGCTTCCGAGCCTGCAATATGGCAACCTCACATCGTAACAAGCGACAGGGAAAGTACCTTTCTTGGCACGCCTTTTTAAATTCAGGGCTTTCCTCCTTTTCTCTTGAAATTCGACCTGCAGCTTTATTTCCACCACCTGAAAGACAGAAAAACAGAAATAGATTTATAACCTCGCTTGTTAATTACGACGATGATGACTGCATTTGCTTTACGTCGCCTATGTGTCACCGGGACAAACCTGGCAGGGAAAGTGAATTGAGGGGCCCTGAGCAGCAGCATTCAGGTAAGGGGTCTTTCTAAGGTGACTATTTCACCTTAGAAAGAATCTTCTAACGAGAGGAAGAGATAATCTCAAGGCCACGTAACCCATACTCTGTTTTCACCTTTCTCAGTCAAAATGATCTCTATCTGCTTAAGGTATACAATGATTAATGATTTTATTAACAAGGGGAGATCCTTGAGTAGGGACAGAGTGATCTTCCCTCCTGCCAGACAAAGGAACTGCAACAACTTTGTGCAAAATGCTTCTTGGGTTAAAATTCTCAGCAAACCCTCGAATCTGCACACACCTCAAAGAAGCTGGGAAGTTGAATGTCAAAGCTACACGCAGTTTTCTGGACTGACAAGGACCCAAAATGTGAATTTCTAGGTGCCAGGGTTCATCCAGGGTCACCAGAATACCGTCCCAGGGAGCAAATTGTTTCCCCTCTCCGCACAAAGGTTTCAAAAATGACTGGCAAAGAAAGAGGATTTACCTGTTCAATATTAGACCAGAAATATTCTATTTCTCTGGCAATTGTAGCAGCGATCCGTCTTAGCTTGGTCTTCTCTTCCTTCTTCGCCCTCTCTGCATTGAGGTGTTTCTCTTCGTGGTAGCGAGCCACTGTCCTGACCATCTAACGTAAAAAGTTAAAAGGATTGCTAGACAGTGGGACCTTCCATCAATTTATTACCGCTCTGGCTTTTATAGCTATAAAATGTTTGACGGGCATGCTCATTTTTGTGAATTTTTCATGCATTCATGGCGCATTCTGTGACACCATACGAAATATATATAAATAATATATAATATATAATATAATATATAATTATATAATATATAAAACTTTGTCCACATGAAAAAGCCAGCCATTTTTTTGCATTAATAATTAACTTTTCAAAAGTTCCCATATAACAATGGTTTATCTAATCCAGAACTGACTATAGCAGCTTCCTTCAAACTAGCACACATCATCTGCCTGAACTTTTAATTTGCAGAATACCTCAGCTCCCGTGATTCTTCCTAGCTAAGGAATTCTAGGAATTGCAGTAGTAATTCTGGGATTTTTTCTGAGCTTGGCAACTTTAAGGTGTGTGGACTTCAACTCCCAGCATTCCCCAGCCAGATTTTCCTGAATGTGTAAAGATGCCTCTCTATGCTAGTCTGTGTCTACTCGGGAAGCTTTTAAATTATTATCTGGATTTCTTTTAAAATATTAAATTGAATACTAATACTTGCTTTGCGTTGGTTCTCGACAGTTCACCTGAACAAAAAGACTGGGAATAAACCGAATGGATGCCTTGTATGTATTTGATCCATGCGTGCATGGAATAAAATGCCCAGATAGGTTTGCTCAGGAGCTGCATCCTGGATAACATCAACAGGAACAGCTCATAAAAGCATTGCTGGTGATCATGAAAAGTTCTGCTATCTATGTCCTGATACAAATAGATATCTCTTGGATTAGGTGCACCAACCCAATCTATCTCTAACCAATCTCTTCTACTTTGGCATGCCATTATTCAACAGTTCGTGGCTAGTTACCTAGTGCCTCCATTTTATTTGAACCAGAAAACCAGGGTGGATAAAAAAAAACAAAAACGATTTCTTAAATTAAAAAAATTCAGATTTATTTTATTTAAATCAGATTTATTTGTCAAATTTATTTCAATAAAATACTTTTGGAGTAAAATAAATCTTTCTAAAGGTCATTTTTCTATTTAAGATTATTTTAGTTTATTCAGCATGGAATGGAGATTAGTTATGTAGCATGAGGCTGTATATTCTGCAATATTTACATTTTGGGTAAACTCATTCAATGAATCCAAGCTCTGCAAGCTAAATAGGAAACCTTCATTTTGTTTGCAAATAATAATATGAAATTTCTAATGACCAGCAAGAATGAGTCCTTATATTTAAAGAGCACCTGTCATTTCATATCCATCATGGCAGTGCCCATTAGTGGGCATCCACGCACTTGCTGCCTGCCACATCCCTCTCCTTGTGTCCCAGGTGCATCACCAGCTGTCCCATTAAAGTGAATGGGACAGTCGGTGAGTCAACAGTGGGTCAGAGGAGGAGCTGCTGTGGGACAGAGATGACAGTGGCTCTTTGATTTGATTTAAATCAAGCCTTTCTACTAGTGATTTAAATCAATTTGATTTAAATCATATCCACCCTGCAAAAAACTATGGTTGTTAAAAGTCCAAACACATGAGGAACCTGGTTTGTTACACATTTCTTCATTCTGGGTTTTGCTAAGGAATTACAAACAGCTGTGATCCAGACCTTCTTGGCAGTGGCCATCTTCCATCGTCTTTCTTGGGCAAAATCTGTGGCCATCCATTGCATCTCCTCCAGGAGGTAATCCCACTGAGATTTGGGCCTGGAGGCCTCCTGGAGTTTGGGCAATCGTCTCAGAGACCACAAGCCTTCTTTTCTCAGCTCCGCGATGCGCTGGTGAACTTGGTTTTCCTTGTGGAAGCAAACAAAGGGAATGTCAACTCATAAAATATTTCCTTGGTCTTTTTAGAGTTGCCAACAGAAAGGGGGGGGGGGGAAAGGGGTTTGAAAGAGCAGTGCGGCAGCTTGGAAATTGAAAATGCATTCCATACATTTTTTTTTCAAAGATAGTAACTAGGTGACTGAAGTTTCTGTCACACAAATATTTAACTAGAGAACATGATTGATGACTCTTGGCTATGGAAGTGACCCATTGGAGAATATGAATGATGATACACCCAGGGGGTGGGTGGGGAAACCAGGGTCAAGGGCGACAATGAATGATGTGTCCAAGAGTCGGCTACAACCAGGCAATGCCGGACATGTCAACTCCCAATAAATCATTTTTAAGTTTTGGAAGTTTGATTTAAAGGCTCATGATTTAATTGGGGTAACTGCCGGAATCCTGACAGCTAGCTGACTCTCATAATCCTGACAGGAAGAACATTAAAAGGTGGGTTTCTGGTGACATCAAAAGATGCAGGGAGCCTTAGGCGAGGAACTAATTACAGGACGTCTTCGACTTGCGACCACAATGGAGCCTCAAATTTCCACTGTTACACAAGGCAGTTGTTAAGTGAGCTCTGCCCCGGCTTCACCTTTCTTGCCACCGTTGTTAAGGTAATCACTGCAGTTAAGTTGGTAACCTAGTTAGGTGAATCGACCTTGGCTGTTGAAGGTCGCAAAAGGGGATTATGTGACCTTGGGACACTGCAACCATCATAGTCAGTTGCTAAGAAGATGAATTTTTATCATGGGACCAGGGGAAAACACAACGGTCGTGTGAAAAATGGTCATAAGGTGTTTTTTTTACTGCCGTTGTAACTTCGAACTATCACTAAACAACTGGTTGTAATTTGAGGATTACCCGTACAAAGCAAACCATTGGGCTCCAAAAACTAAGAAAGACATGCAGAATTATTTCTAAGCAATTTACTGGTCCTTATTTAGAGACAAAAACCTTGCTAAATTAAAGCAACCACCGGTGTCATTAAAGATCTATTCTGACGACTTCTGAGGAGGAGCAAACTTAACCCTCTTCCTCCCAACCAACCTATCAAAGCTTCACTGTCTCTTGGTTGTCTGGAAGGCAGCCCCTCCCTCCTGGGAATCCAGACTGCATTCCACCACATAACTGTACTCAATGAGTTTACACCAGTTCAAATAAAGACTAGGGGAGACATGATAGCAGGGTTCCGATATCTGAGGGGCTGCCCCAAAGAAGAGGGAGTCAAGCTCTTCTTCAAAGCACCCGAAGGCAGGACAAGAAGCAACAGATGAAACTTATCAAAGAGAGAAGCAACCTAGAACTAGATTTTTTTTCTGACAGTGTAAACAATTAAAGGATCGATCTGTCTACAGAAGTTGTGCGTGCTCCAACATGGGAGGCTTTAAGAAGAGATTTAAAAACCATTAGACAAATTGGTTGGTATCTTGGTTAAGCCTTCTTTAAAAACTTACTTGTTTTGGAACTCCTCCGTATTTTTGATGCCATATCCTTATTTTAAGTGGATTTTGGCTACAATCCTTATTTGGGGGATTAAAGTATATTGAATGTAATGGATTTTGCTTCCAAACGGATTTGCATAGCAGTATTGCATAAATAAATCCTACAGTGTACATTTTGTTTGAGAAAAACAAAGGATGTGCTCTAATACCCATTTACTTATGAATAAATCCCACTAGCTATTTGTCTCGAATGGTATTGGGTCTCCTGCCTGAGTAGGAGGGTTGGACTAAAACAGGGGTCGCCAACCTTTAGGGCACCAGGGACCACCAAACTCATAATTTTAAATCCCACGGACCAGAGACCCTGGAAAAATCCCCCCAAAAGTCTTCAGGAATTCCCCACCCTGTTTTCCTACTGATCAATCATTCTTTATTTGGGATCGCAGAATTCCGTCTCCAACTCCGAACTCAGGGGGGGGGGGGGAGAGAGAGAGACAGAGAGAGAGAGAGAGAGACAGAGAGACAGAGAGAGACTGACTGACTGACTTTTGGCTTCATGTAAGGAAAGCAGCAGAAGCAGCAGAAGTCTTTCTTTCTCTCCCTCAACCTCCACCAGAAATGAGTCTTTGTGAGACGTCGCGCCAGCACAGCCTCTTGGAGCAGGAGGCCTTGCAGGGTCCCAAAGACTCATTTCTGCTGGAGTTTGGGGGAGAGAAAGAAAGACTTTGGCTGCTTTCCTTGCATGCAGCCAAAAGCAGAAGAAGAAAGAAGCGGAAAGAAGCAGTCCGGTGTCCAGGCAAATTTTCCCCCTCCGCCCTTTCCCCCCTCCCCTCACTACCTCATGTTGGCAAGCGACGCAAGCCTTGTGTTCCCGCGGGCCATGTGGGCGGCGCAGCCTTGAGTTCCTGCACAGCCTGGATTAATTGCTTTGGGGGGTGCTTTGGGGGTGCTATTTCTCTGCGGACCACCAAAATTTTCTCATGGACCACCAGTGGTCCTCAGCCCACTGGTTGGCGACCACTGGACTAGAAGACCTCCAAGGTCCCTTCCAACTATGTTAGTTAAATCCTAAACCTGGAACACGAATATCATCTTTCAGACTATGGGTTAAAATGACCGGATGGTTGGCACACAGCTAGTTATCGCTTGAGGAAAACACATTGTTCAGGTTAGGGTTGGAAGAGATAGAAAAACTCTCACCAACTTCACTTGTTCGGCCAACTTCTCGTGTGTGCTATCCTGAGGCAGGGCTGCTGTGGTATTTTGTGTTGTGTTCTGAGTTTTGGGGGTTGCTGCCACGGCCAACCCTGGTGGTTTGGAGGCCACAGGAGAGGCTGACTTAGTTGATCCCGGCGAGGACCGGTTGGCTTGGGTTGAGTGCGTGGTTTGTGGGGCAGGGTTGGAACCAGAAGTTGGTGGGTTGCTTGAGGTAGGAGGAACCACATTTGCTGAAATACGCTGGGAGTTTTGGTTAGAGTCGGATGAAGGACGAGACAGAGTTGTGATCTATGTAGAACACACATAAATTAGGATACAAGATTAGAATAACAAATAGCTTCAAGAGATTAACCATCTTCTGTTTTAGAGTAGAAATCAAACACAAAACAAATACACAAATTCACCCTTTAGGATACAAGATTAGAAAAACAAATAGTTTCAATAGTTTCATCTTTTTTTAGAGTAGAAGTCAAACAGAAAATAAAATATATGAATTCACTCTTTAGGATACAAGATTAGAAAAACAAATAGCTTCAAGAGATAAACCATATTCCGTTTTAGAGTAGCAGTCAAAAAGAAATACACAAATTCACCTCTGTTGAAAGCAAGCGTTAACGCTCTGCTCTTGGATCTGGATAGTTTAAGTCTGTTAATTTTTGTAGACAATGAGGTCTCTAGTTACGAATGGAAGAATGTGCACAATCTCACAACTGTACACCTTTATCCTTTTTAAAGAGGCATTGTACACCTGTACACCTGGCACAACTGTATGCCGTTATCCTTTTTTAAGAGGCATTGTCAATGTGGAGTTTGGAGTGACACATTCCAAACTCGCATTGACAAGGCTTCTTAGAAAACTGACCGAGAATCAAGAATGCCAGCTAAGTTTTGCCTTTAATGCTGTTTTCCTAAACCCTTTAGATTTGACCTTGCAAGGTCATTCATATTTCTATCTTTTTTTTTAAAGGTTGAACAACCGGTTCGGTGGATCACGTGATTTGCGCGTGCAGCACTCAAGTAACCCAGCTGAGAAGTGGGCAGTCCACTGCACAGCGCTAGTCAGCTGAGACGATATAGGTAGGTGGGTGGGCCCACGTGATAGTCGCAGAGAAATGGTTCGCTGCCAGCTGATTTTCGCAGCAAACGGTTCGGCCAAACCAGTCTGAACCAGTCAAATCCCACCCCTGCTTTTACTCTTCAAAACCGAATTTCAACCCTGACTCAAAGGCCAAAGATCCGGATCTGCCTACCTGCTGTGGGGTTGGAGTTTGAGAGGACACAACCTGGGAGGGTGTCACTGGCCCCGGTCCGTGGGCTGCCGGCTGCCCTTGTGGGTGTGACGGCGCTTGAACCTGGCCGTGGGACACAGCAGCGGCAGTGACCGTCACGTTTTGGGGCGGAGCCTTCACGTGAATTGCCGCTTGTTGCACGGGGGGGTCGTTCATCTGAGCCGCTTGGGGCGCCAGCTGCAGCGTTGGCGGGAGAGAGCTGATGGGCACGTTGGTGGGCTGCAGTCTACTGGGCAGCTGAGGCGGTGGGGTGTGGAGACTGGCTGCATTCTGCACTGGGGGACCTTTGGAAGGGTCGTACTGTTGTTGGCTCTGCTTCTGACCCATCAGCTGCACCGTTTGAGGGGTGGGAGGCATTCCACCTGCAAAGCAAGAAAACACAAGAATTAAGGGAGTCAAAGCCTATAGAGAGTCCCCGTCATCCAGGTCGTGGTTTGTCCCAAAGGTTCTTTTCGAAAAGGCAACCGGGCTTTTTGAGTTTTTCTTTGAAGACATTTCGCTTCTCATCCAAGAAGCTTCTTCAGTTCTGACTGGATGGTGAGGAACGGAAGGATTTATACTCCTTGCAGACATTAGCATCCCTTTAGAGAGTTGTTCAGACCACTGGGAGGTTTATCTGTGTCCTCAGGGTCTCACCTGAGTGGTGCAAATGGTGTGAAGCCTTTTTGGAACTGTTGAAAGGACTGTGTTGTAGATTGGAGAAAGATGATGTCATATCCCTCCTGAGGACACAGATAAACCTCCAGGTGGCCTTAACAACCCACTAAAAGGAGGCAAATGACCAGCTGTCTGCAAGAAGTATAAATCCTTCCATTCCCCACCATCCAGTCAGAGCTGAAGAAACCTCTTGGATGAGAAGCGAAACGACTTCAAAGAAAAACCAGAAAGTCCAGTTGCCTCTGGAAAAAGCACCTTTGGGGTAAGGGATCCAAAGGCTCAAAAACCTATAATGGTGGCATGCCAGGGAAGAGTGAAATGTTTGTCTATTTACTTACTTGGCCAACTCAAGGAAATAAACCACAAATATACATAAACTCGGTTAGTTAAATAAATCACTGTTCGTCACAAATCAGCAAAGTCAAAGTCACTGGGGAATCCCAGCCAGGGAAAACACCGACATCAGCGTGTCGCCAGATTAGGAAGAATTGGCGGAGTGACTCGAACCACAGAAAGCAACCTCACGATGAACTGAAGGACTAAAGGGTCAATAGGCAGTTGCGAAACAAAAACCGAACACGAAAGGGAAATGGAAGCACTAACGGTCCGTTAAAAAGAAAAATAATAACTACCGGGGTGGGATGTTCGAGAACTAATTTTTTTGGCCTCAACGTGCATGAGTGGTGTGTTGTTTTTTTTCCATGCCCGCATGCATCGCTCGAGCTCGTATTTTCCCGGCTCTTTTTTGACATGAACAAGCCACTTCACGCCGCAGATTAATTTGCAAGGGGGTGGGGTTGGGGGTGGGGGCAGAACCAGAGAGCTCCACAACAACCATTTTTTAAAAATAAAATTCTAGCAGGCTTCTGCTTCCCTCGCCCCAGCCCCTTTGCTAAATTAATCTGCGGCTGGCATGTGGCAACACAGTACCTTGTGCAGTTGGCATGAGCTGTTGAAGAGGGACTCCTGAAGCCACGCCCGGATGCTGAAAAACCATCCCATGACGGCCCACTTCAATTCGGGGTCTCTTAGACGAATCTGGTGATATTCAAATTCCATTTATAAATGCACAAGGGGGGGGAGGGGGGTGTCAGGTTATACGGTTTGCAACGGTGCTCCCTGGGAGCTTTAAACGTTGATATGAGGAGCCGTGGTGGTGCAGTGGTTAGAGCGCAGTACTGCAGGCTACTTCTGCTGACTGCCGGCTGCCTGCGATTTGGCAGATCAAATCTCACCAGGCTCAAGGTTGACTCAGCCTTCCATCCTTCTGAGGTGGGTGAAATGAGGAGACTCAGATTGTTGGGGGCAAGAGGCTGACTCTGTAAACCGCTTAGTGAGGGCTGTAAAGTGGCATACAAAGTGCTATTGCTATCTACAAGCCCACCAGGAGAGAGTTTGGTCCTAAAAGAGAGTTTAGAAATATTTTGATGTTGCTGGGTTTCTTTTCTTGTTTTTTTTTTTTTAAATAAATGCTATGAAAGGGCGGCACGGTTGAAGAATGTTGTTTCTCAAATATGGCTGCTGGGGGAGAACCTGACATCATGGGACTTTCCATCCCAAGAGACGGGCCAAATGGTTTGGCACCATGATGAAGTTCAGGACAGCAATTTTAAAGAAGTGCAAATTGAATCCGTCTTTTGGGTAGAGAGCCTAAAGGGACTGTAAATGCTCTGGAGGAGGAGGAGGAGGAGGAGGAGGAGGAGGAGGAGGAGGAGGAGGAGGAGGAGGAGGCCATACCTGCTGATGTAAGGGCTTGCTGTCTCTTAAAGGCTTCGATTTCTATGGCATTCACAGTTCCCGTTACTGCAGTCCCTGCATGCACCTGCTATTAGTAAAACAAAACAGGAAAGTCAACAGTCTGTGAGTGGAAGACAGGTTTTTTTTTTCCCAAAAGGGCACATCACCCTTGTTTTTAAAGAATCTACAGCTGGAGTCCCCAAAGTGTCCGTGAAGTGGCACCGGTCCGCGGGATGCCAGAAATTGGGCCGTGCAAACAAGTGAAGCCCCATCCATCAAAGAAGGCAGCACACGAAAACCAGGCCTCCTCCGGTCCACGGAAAAACCTCTCTCTCCACGGAACCAGTCCCTGGTGCCCAAAAGATTGAATTTTGGTGAAAGAGTTTGAGCTTTTTTTTTTACTTATTTATTTCCAAAGGTTTGCCTTTGTATCCCTTTGGCAACGATCCTTTTAATCGCAAATATAAAAAGCTGCCAAAAGCCAAATCTATGTGGCAGTTGGTTGGGTCTCTCTTTCCTAATAATACAATATGTGAACAGCTTCCTCTCTCTCAAATCTCTCACCTTCGTATTTCTACCATTACGGTCTAATCAACTGGTCCTGTATTTTGCATTACAAACATATCTACCAGGAGCTCAATGCTTGCAGGAATACAGGTGTGGCTTTCTCCAAAATTCAATATGTTGATTTGTCTCCTGTTTCTCTCATCTATTAATCGCGCAACAGACATTACCTATCAGTTCTCCACTTCTGCCTATATAAGAAACACTATCTCAATACTCATGCTTCGCTATGAAACTATGAGGTTGGGCTTAGTTTTTGAGGAGGAAAATAAGGGGAAAGAAATTCTGCCTGTGCCTACCAGCATCTATCAGTATTCATCTGGCTAGCATCCAGTCAGTGTGTTTGGAAACTGAAACAGTATTTGCTGTGTGAGCAAAAAGGAGACAGCAAGGAGCCTGGATGTGGCTTAGCTCAACTGTTCTGTACTAAAGCTGATTGGTGCTGTGAAACTAAAACTGAAAACCCTCTCCTCTGCTTGTGTTTTGCATTTGGAACAGATTTCTTTTCAGGTGGGGAGGGGGAGTAGAACTCCTTAGCATCAGAGTGTGTTAATAATAATACTATACGAAATATTAATGCTCTGATGGTCATTTTGAAAAATCCTTTCTTAGTGAGCACCTAGAAGCCAAGAGGAACATAGGTGCCAAATTTCAAGTTTGTAGGCTTTACGGTTCTGGAATTTCACGATGATGCGTGAGGGGCATTTCGCTTTTATATATATAGAATTAAGCAATTTGCCATTACAGTGTTACTAAAAATAATTTAACGCACGTAGAGTTCCCTCCAGTTCCCGATGCAAGTTCCTGTCTTATTAATGTTTTTCTGAGCCACTGACATTTGGTCTCCTATATCTAGGAAGCCCATATCTTGTCACTGATTTGGCAATGAACACCGGCACTTTTATAAGGGGTGTGGGATTACGTAGTAGAGGAGCGGGATGCGTCCATGAAATGATATTAAATGCCCATCCTGTCCTGCATCCTCATTTTCCCCCCAATTGTACTTGATACTTTGCAAGATGACAAGGCAGCGGTTTTCCCCACTCTGGTACCCAAGGAAGAGGTGTTTTGCCATTATGCATGGAGCATCTGTTTAACCATCTAGTTATCACCATGAAGTCTCTTTGACTAATTATCCTTTAAAGACATATTTATAGTAAATAGGATGTCTACTAATACAGTCTTTTATACCTGCATTCAATTTTTAATCTGCTGTGGTGCACCACCCTGAGGCGCCTTGAGTGCATACATTTGATAAAATAAAATCAATAATCTAGCTTGGAGGGAAGAAGTCCTTCTTTCGATTCATTCAGTATCTAAGCCCTGTCACGTTCATTGGGAGATATATACTAAGCCTATTTCAGATACATTGAAAACCAATATAAATTCTCATAAATAAATAAACTAATAAACTAAACAAACAAACAGATAGGAAAGCATATCTCCTCAGTTCTTTTCCCTGCATAAAGGCCTCTGCACTAATCAGAGCTTGTCGTTTCTTAATTGTAGAAGCAAAAGGCTACTCTGAGTAAGGAAACAGAACCGAGAAAGGCAATATCGCCTGACATTTCTACTGGTCTTATTTACTAATCAAGAATCTGCTGGCTATTACTTATTGATTCGAAACACTGATAGAGCTGCCCCTTCTCATAACAAACTCTGGGTGGCTCCCACTCAGAAATGAAAATAACGTACAGAATTCAAGTAAGATATGAAAATGAAAATAAGTAAACACTGTTTTTTTGAATCTCTAGGTGCCTCGTGTGATGTTTTAAAAAAAGCAACTTTAATATATGAGCATCTAGTTATCTAAAACAGGGTCGCCAACCTTAGCAGCTTTAAGCCTGGCGGATTTTAAGCAAAGCTGCCTGGGGAATTCTGGGAGTTGAAGTCCTCCAGGCTTAAAGTTGCCACGGGTACATTTTTTGGGGGTCCCAGAGGTCCTATAGGGAGGATAGACCAATGTCGGGTGGAGGTTTCGGGACTCATCTGGCAGGAAATGGGACATTTTCCGCCCATGCTTCTGGACATGAAAATGTCTCACTGTAGTCCTTTTGGGAATACACTCATGTTCTCAAAATGCCAAATATTGCTAAGCGAGACAGATAAGTGAATTTTGCCCCCATTTTACGTCCCTTTCTTGCCACCGTTGTTAAGTGAGTCACTGCAGTTGTTAAGTCAGGAACAGGGCTGTAAAGTTAATCTGCCCTCCTCATCAGAAGGTCGCAAAAGGTGTGTGTGTGTGTATGTGTGTGTGTGTGTGTGTGTCACATGACCCCAAGACACCATCATAAAGATGAATCAATTGCCAAGTGACTGAATTTTTGATCACGGGATCCTGGAGAGGTTGCAACGGTCATTAAGTGTGGAAAAACGATCTCAAGTCACTTTTCCCGCCCCCCCCCAGTGCCATTGTAACTTCGAACGGTCGCTAAACAAACTGTCGTAACTCGAGGACTACCTGTATCCCTCTGGCCTAAGAGCAAAACACAGTTTGAGAGCATCATTGCCTAAAACCTAGATGCCAAAGCTATCCGTCTCTTGTGGCAGGAAGACAGACCAGCCCTAGATTTGAAAAGGCTCCTTTTTATAACACTCAACCACGGTTCGTCATTAGTACCGAATCAAGGTATTACGGATTTACATGCTGCAAACTCCATGCTTGCTTCATAGCACTTACAATTAACCCGGCAATAATGTAATGCATACAATTCGCATGCCGCCCTGTGGACTCTAGAAAGTGCGCTGGCTCAACCTGAACCAGAGAAGGAAGGCACGATTGCAAACTCTGTCGTTTTGGTAGGTTAGCATTTGGGGACGACCACCAAGTCCCCCAAAAATGAATTTTTAGAAAGATTCCACAAACACACACACACACACAGAGAGAGAGAGAGAGAGAGAGAGAGAGAGACCCACAGTTACCAGGTAGAACATACAAAGGAACCAAAGGACAAGCAAACCAAAGGTGGAACACGTTAAAAAGCTGAAAGTTAATGAAATCAGCCAGCAACTTTGAGACAAGTTAAATAAAATAAACAAACAAAATCTTTCTTGGTATCCCATTAACACTCCATGCATTTGAAAAGTTCAAAAGTTTTTACTGCCCATTTTTCTAAAAACGAGAAGGGATGGGCTGTTGGGAGGAGGAAGAGGGAAAAAAATACAGACCACTTTCCATTACCAAATCTGACTGAGCAAAAATAATGATCATCGTTATTATTTTTTATCATCATCATCATCATCATCATGTGGGATGGAACTCAAGAGTTTAAATCCATTGAAAAAAGTACCTGGAATGGTTGCTGCTGAGTTGAAAAAGCAGCAGAAACATTTGGAGGAAGCTGGGTTGCTATAGCAACAGGAGTACCAGTCTGCCCATCCTTTCCTGTCACAACCTTTACCTGAGAGAAGATATTTTGGGAAAGGGGGGTGGGGGAACAAAAAGGGAAATCATTTTTTCTTTCATTCTCTCTCTCTTTTTTTTTAAATTCCAAAAAGAAAAATATGATCAAAGCATCCCGCTTTGCGTTAGAGCAACGGGATGGAGAACAAAAGGCGTTAACGTCATTTAACTCTTGATTATTTTTGTTTAAAAGAGTATTTTTGTTTTGCAAATGAAGGCAAAAGTTTTATTGTGGCGGGTTGTTTTTGCTGTTGTTTTCGGTTATATATCAAAATAGAGTGAGGGACAAACATAGTATGGGAATTTTTTTTTCTCCCTCTGGCCATGCAAAAAAAAGTCTAAGTTGAAATTGCATGTAGACATTAGCGTGGGTTAAAGTCTTGAGATCTTGGCTTTCTAACAAACGACAACATTAGCGTGACAGACAGTTGACAACTCAGAAAAGCCCCCAGACATTTATTAAGCAATGAGTGTACAACCTCCCGTTCCCTGCCAGCCCACCAACCATCACCATTCCCACAACCTAGGCGAGCGATGAGGTGTGTTGCTTGAGCTTAGCAGAAGATGGTGAAGAAGAGAAGGACATTACAATATACAAAGTGAAGGAAGAGACACTGGAATAGCTTTGGGGTCGATGTGTCGCACACTATCGTTGGCTGACTGGACAAGTTGGGTGCTTTGTGGTTTTGTGAAAGCTTTTCCTAAACCCTGTGAGGTACTTGATGCTCTCTGAACTCAGTGGCTTAGTTTGCAGGCATTTTGCAACTCAACTAGGTAACATCATCAGTGTTACAAGGGAGTGGGGTTCGCTCTCTTTTGCATACAGCTAGTCTTCTACTTAAAGGGACACGGAGGCTCCATGGCTAAGATGCTGAGCTTGTCGATCAGAAAGATCGGCAGTTTGTTGGTTCGAATCCCTAGTGCCGTGTAATGGAGTGAGCTCCCGTTACTTATCCCAGCTTCTGCCAACCTACCAGTTCGAAAGCATGTAAAAAATGCAAGTAGCAAAACAGGGACCACTTTGGTGGGAAGGGAACCGCGTTCTGTGCGCCTTCGGCATTTAGTCCTGCCGGCCACAAGACCACAGAGACGTCTTTGGACAGCGCTGGCTCTTTGGCTTGTAAGGGAGATGAGCACCACCCCCTAGAGCCAGAAACAACTAGCACATAGGTGCCAGGGGAAGCTTTACCTTTGGTCTTCTTACGACCACATTTCTGTTGTTCAGTGGGACTTTTATTAAAGTGACTTTTGCCCCGTTTTATGACTTTTCTTGCAGCAGGGAATCACTGCAGGGGGAATCACATGCCCTTGGGACATAGCAACGGTCGTAAGTATGAACCGGTTGCCAAGCGTCTGAATTTTGATCATATGATCAATAGTTAAAGTAAAGGTTCCCCTCGCACATATGTGCTAGTCATTTCCGGCTCTAAGGGGCAGTGCTCATCTCCGTTACAAAGCTGAAGAGCCAGGACTGTCCGAAGACGTCTCCGTGGTCATGTGGCTGGCATGACTGAACACCGAAGGTGCACTTTCTAGGGATTTGAACTGCTGACCTTCCTGATCGACAAGCTCAGCATCTTAGCCACTGAGCCCTTTGATCAATAGTTATGTCACTTTTTTCAGTGCCATTCTAACTTCGGTCACTAAATGAACTGTTGTAAGTTGAAGATTATACCTATATACTAGTGGCTTGCCCTGTAAGTATTGGTGGGAGTGGTCTCTGTGATTCCTTGATAAGGCTGTTGTTTACAGTTTGATTCTTTGTCCAGGTGGATAGTTCCTGGATTGGAGTATTGTTTACAGCTTGATTGTTGGTAAACAGCCTAATCAAGGAGCCATCAAAGACATTCCCACCACCACCGACAGGGCAAGTGACTAATATATAAAAAGACAGCAAACACCTCTCCCTTCTAGCACTGATGACATTCCCTAGTTGGGTCATGAAACATCTGCAAGAAAACAACCAAGCTCAGAGAACACCAAAATCTCACAGTTCAACTCTGAGCTACGAGTATTTCCTTCTAATTTTCCTAAATCCCTTTAGACCATTTTTGACTCCTCCCTTACTGACCTATGAGCAGAATTTCCAAAATGAGCATAAACGTGTAAGAAACATTTAGCTGGATATCTCATAGAGACCAAAAACATTTGCCCAGTCCGACTAAACAACAACTGCATCAAATAAAGATTACTTGCAGATTAAAAATGGGAAGCAAATGCCTGTGTGTCACAAAAATCCAACAATTGCATAAATTTAATAGACCATTAAAAAAATATGCCTTGGAGGATAGAGACAGTTAAAAGCCATTCTTTTAAATTGTCACAATGAATAGAAAACAGCTTCATTAATTTTGTCCAGAAAAGCTAGGTTTTTTTTTGTTGTTGTTGCAGCTCACCTTTCTCAGGTGAACAGATTTTAACAGTACTTTCCCAATACCTGCTTTTAAAACACGGAGCCTTTGCCTAAATATTAAAAGTTTAAAATCAAACAAAGGCGCATTACATCGATGTGATAGGTTCTCCTGGCTTTATTAGGATTAATTCAGCAGCACAAAATAATTAATTTCCTGTGTGATGGAGATACAGCATTTATTGCCTTCTGAATATTTATTATGCCTAATGAACAATCCATCTAATTTGAAAGCCTGCTCTCCCTTCAATATCCCTAGTTTTTTAGGAACACGGCCATTATCACTGTGATGAAGGCAACCATTCTATTAATTTATCATGCTACAATTATACTCACTACTTTTTATTAAAACCAAATCTGCCATAATTTAAACCTCTCTCAGGAAATGGTGCCTGCAAGTCCAAATCCATATATTCTATATTTTTAATAAAGTTAAACAGCAATTGAGTCAATTTACGAAGCTTCAAAAAAAAAATCTCAGAAAACAACTTTTTGTTACATGGATGACACCCCAACCTGGAATTGTAGAACATCAACTATTAGTAAAATTCCAATCAAAGATTTCTCTCTTAATAAAGCTGTGTATATGAGTAACCACAGTTCAGAATAAAAGATTGGCAAGTTTATACAGTTTTACAATTAACTAGGAGTAGATAACAAACACCAGTTTATAAAATGTTAACATGTTTTAACTTTAGGTTGCAATTCTCAACTGTAACTACTTTTGATTGCAATTCTGTATAGAATTATCTAACAAGAAGTCTCAGTAAATTCAAAAAGGGCATGGAAAGAATTACATTAAAACTTTTTTACTTTCAGGGAAAAAAAGCTGCAGATTGGACATTTTCAGCAAGATAATCAAAGAAAATACTGGATAGGGGTAAACAATTTGCAACTTAAAAAAAAACAACATAAGAAAGGAACATGAATCAGGGTCCAAAAATTACATCTAGGTTCTGTCAGTGATAGTTAATATCTATGTGTAAAAAAAAAAAAAAGTCCACAGAACTGGATCAAATTCCTGCACCTTTTTCTCCATACTTGAGGATACGAGTATAAATAAACACAACTGATTCCTTATTAAAACAGGGTTTTTTTTCCGATAATACTTTTTTGAGTGATAACTAGAAGAAAATCTCAGATCGCAAAGTGAGGTGACAAAGTGAAGCAGAACCCAAGACTTAAAATGATTTCAAGCTCAGTTCTAACTCCTGCAAAGGACGATTTCGTCAACCTCCTTTGCAGCCTGTGGTCTCTCTGAAGACACGAGCACAATTCACAAGGAGACTTTTCCATCTCCTTGGAGCTTCCACTTCCCCACTTTATAAGGACCCTTCACAGATGAATGGAAAGAGGCGTCTACGTTGACCCCAATCCAAAACGAACACCCTGCATCCCTTGTGTTAGCTCGAGTCTTAACCCGGCCATTCGGAACGAATTTGGCAGACCTGATGCATTAACTTAGAAGTCTCCAAACTTGAGGTCTCTAGCTATGTTAGCTGGAGGATTCCAGGATTTGAAGTCCACAAGCTTTAAAGTTGCCAAGTTTGGGAGACCCCTCCATTAACCGCTGGAACCAGCCGAACGACCCACCCCCTCCTAAAAAACGTTTCTCCCTGACAAAAAAATCCCAATTCAACTTCGTTTAGGTCGGCAGAGCCGTCACACCTCCGAAAACATGAGCATGCTCGGCTTTAGCCTAGGTGGACAAAGAGAGTCCCTACCTCATCGTTGATCACCTCCGATTGCTCTTCCTCCTCCTCCTCCTCCAGGTCCAGGTCGTTCTGCCGAAGGTAGGCCTGCAGCGGCACGCAATGCTTCTTCTTAAAGGCCAAGAAGTCCATCATGTTCCCTTGCAGGTGCTGCAAGAAGAACAGCTCGACCAGGTACTCCTTGAACGCGTCTTTCAAAGCCTCCGTCTGCTTGAAGTGGTGCTCCAGGCACTGCTTCCTCATCTGAGCGGCTTCTGGGGTGGCTGGGGGGATTTCCTCGACCTTTTTGGGTTTTTTCACCACGGAACAAACCGAAGGGCCTAGCGGGTGGCCGGTTAGTCCTTGAGGGATGCTGGCCCGGGAAGGGCTTGTGGGAGGCGGTGGGGACGTGATGCCGAAAGCAGGGCCTCCCACCCCGGCGATTAATCCGGAAGAAGTCCTGTCAAAGCCCAAAGTTCTGTTTGAGGGCTGCCCTTGCTGCTGCTGCTGCTGCTGCTGCTGCATCCCTTGGATGATGTTGCTGATCTGTGGCGGCAGGTTGCTGGTGGTGATGTGTCCGGGGTTGGGCAAACCTTGGATATTTCCTCCGCTAGTCACGGGGCTCTGAGGTCCGAGATGGTGGATGGTCCCTCCGGTCTGAGAATGGGGCTGCGACAGCCTGCGTTCTCGGACGGTCGCCGAGGTGCCCGAGGACGAGAGCTGGACCTGAGCCGTGCCGCTTTGAGCGATCTGGGCAAGGCCGGATCCTTCCTGATAGACGAAGTGCCCTCCGCCATTCGAAGGGCTCAGGCTGATCTGCCTCACCAACACGCTGGCGTCCACGAAGCCTCGCGTCGGGCTCTGGCTGCACATGCCCAAGCCGGGGCCCGGCGTGCCTGCTCGGACGCTCGATAGGGTCTGAACGGACACCGAGCAGGGCTGGGTGGGGCTCTGCGACTGGACCTGAGGGGGCAACGGAGAAGTGACCTGGATGTAGGAGGGGGAGCCATGCTCGAACCGCCTTTGTTGAGGGCTGAACTGAAAACCGGGGGAGGTCGGGCTCGGGATCGGCAACGGGGTCAGGGTGATCTGCTGGCTGGCAGTAGAAACGGGTCCCACATTCTGCAAGGTGATGTTCACGTTCTGCCCTGCAACTGGGCTGCGGCTCATGATAAACTGCTGGATTTGGTAGCTGGGAGACTGAGGGGCAGAAGGGCTGGCTGAAGGAGCGAAGGAAGGCGACAGGGACTGTGGCAAGTTGGCCTGCTGATCGTCGCTCTCGCTGCCGGTGAAGGATCGGGACCTCTGGAGCTGGCGCTGTGCATTTTGTGAACCGGTCCCATGGTGCATTATCGCGCTGACAGCAGCCTCGAGTTCTAAAAGGAGACGGGAGACAACGTTCCATTAGGGCAGGGATTCCCAACCTGGGAGGGGGGGCAAGACAATATTCCAGGGGGTGCGAAAACTTGGGCTTAGAAGTTTCAGCAATTGACGATACTGGAAGCATCCTTGTCAATTTGAAATTGTACTCTCCAGAAAGGGTGGCCCATTTAAACCCTTATTTAAAAAACTAAAAAATATTACTTCTGGCAGGGAACAAACCTACACATCATCAATAAGACTGAGAGCTCTTCGTTTCAAAGCCCAGCTCAAATAGGACAGAACACCTTGATCAGATGCGAGATAACTGTAAGAGTGCTGATCTATTATGAACTTTCATTTTCTTTTTACCTGTTTGCATCTTTGTATTAGTTGGATGGAGTCAACTGACTTGATTAATAATATTCTCTTCTTCTATTTCACCTTAGACTACATTAACTTACTGTTCTATCTTCACTTTATCTGACATTTTATCCTGTTTTATCTTACATCACTGTATCTTATTTCATTTTACTCTATTGTACTGTGCCCGATGCTCATCTTTGATATGGTCCATTGCCTTAAGTCTTCTCATTCCCTTCCTCCTCCTCCTCTTCCACTTTCTTTTACTATTTGATCTTATTCCTTTTACCCTCACTTTATCTTACCTACTACGTTTTATCCTATTTTATCTCACTGTAGCTGTTCTATCTTCCTTCACTTTATCTTATCTCATTTTATTCTATTTTACTGTGCCTGTTGCTCATCTTTGATACAATCCATTGGCTTAATAAAGTTGTCTTCTCCTTACATCCTTCTCTTTCCATCCTTCCTCCTTCCCCTTTCTTCCCCTTCACCTTATACTATTTGATCTTACTCCTTTTACCTTTTTTACCTACTATATTTTATCCTTTTTTATCTTCCTTCACACAGAGTCCTATTTTACTCTATTTTCCTGTGGGCAATGCTTTTCTTTAATACGGTCCATTGACTTAAAATAATGTTCTTCTTCCGTTTTATACTATTCAATCTCACTTTTTTTAAAAACCTCCACTTCAGGGGTCTTCAAACTTGACAGCTTCAAGACTTGTGGACTTAAACTCTCAGAATTCCTCCTCCAGTCATGTTAGCTCAGGAATTCTGGGAGTTGGAAGTCCACAAGTCTTAAAGCTGTCAAGTTTGAAGAAGCTTGCTCTACTTTATCTTACCTGCTACCTTTTATCCCATTTTATCTCATCTCAGCTGTTTCATCTCCCTCCCCCACTTCACTGTATCTTATTTCATTTTATTCTACTTCACTGTGGCTGATGCTCATCTTTGATACGGCCCACTGACTTAATAAAGTCTTCTCTTCTTTCCATCTTCCTCCTTCTATCCTTCCTCCTCCTCCTTCCCTTTTCTCCTCCTTTCACCTTATACTGTTTGATCTCACTTTTTTACCTTCAATTTATCTTACCTGCTACCTTTTATCCTATTTTATCTTACCTTGGCTGTTTCATCTCCCCCCCCCCCCTTCACTGTATCTTATTTTATTCTACTTCACTGTGGCTGATGCTCTTCATGGATACAGCCCGTTGACTTAAAATAAAGTTTTTCTTCCATTTTATACTATTCAATCTCACTTTTTTTAAAAAAAAAAACCTTCACTTTATCTTACCGGCTACATTTTATCTTATTTTATCTCACCTCGGCTGTTGTATTTTCCCCCTTCACTGTATCTTGTTTCGTTTTCTTCTACATCTTTGATATGGCCCATGGACGTAATAAAGTCGTCTTCTCCTCTTTCCATCCTTCTTTCCTTTTCTCCTCCTTCACCTTATACTATTTGATCTCACTTTTTTTTAACCTCCACTTTATCTTACCTGCTACCTTTTATCCTGTTTGATCTCACCTCGGCTGTTGTATCTCCCCCCTTTCACTGTATCTTATTTTATTCTACTTTTATTTTATTATTTTATTCTACTCCACTGTGGCTGATGCTCACATCATGGATACGGCCCATTGACTTAAAATAAAATTGTTCTTCCATTTTATACTATTCAATCTCACTTTAAAAAAAAACAAAAACCTCCCCTTTTTTCTTACCGGCTACACTTTATCCTATTTTATCTCACCTCGGCTGTTGTATCTCCCCGCTCCCCACCTTCACTCTATCTTACTTTATTCTACTTCACTGTGGCTGATGCTCGTCTTGGATACGGTGCACTGACTGATCAATTATCCAGAGCATCATATATATTATCCTTTAGGGACCCCCAGCAACCTGTTGAGTCCAGAGAGGACCGTTAATCGTGGCCGTTCACCCTAAACAGGATGCAGAGGGAGAGGACGAGCAAACAGCCCAGAAAGGCAGCCGGTTTCCGAGTCCAGCAAATAAACCTTCCATAGCTAGGGGGTAAAAAAAAAAAAACCGCGTTCGCCTTTCCCGCAACCTCCCCTTTTTGGCCTTTGCCGCTTCCCGTTATTTCTGTCAGCAGGCGCGCGGACGCCTGGGAGGAGGGGAGGGGGGGGGAAGAGCGGGGACCGTAACGTTCCTTTCCGTGAGGCCTAAGCCGCCTGCCTTCCCACCCGCGGCCCCGCTGCTTACCTTTTTTTTTTTTTACGCCTCCCGCCGCGTCGGCTCTCGGGAAGCCGGAGCGCGCGAGCGAAGCGTCCGCCGATGCTCAGCGAAGACGGCCCGCTCCGAGCCGGGCCCAGCCTCGGCCATCCGCTCCTGACAGGAAACGGATTGAAGGCGCGGGGAGGAGCCTGAGGAAAGGGAGGAGCTTGAGGAAGAAAACAAAAAAGGGCGCATGCGCCAGCGGACGAGCGCCGGCAAGGGACAAAAAAAAAAAAGCATCAGGAAAACGGCGGGATTTCCCCCCCCCCCCCCCCTCCTTTGCAATTGTATAGCGGGCTTGGAAGAAATTAGGTGCGCATGCGGAAAGAGACCCCGCCTGGCTTAGGGACGAAACGGGAAGGAAGCAAGGGCAAGAAGTCAGCACTCCGCATGCGCAATGGGGAAGCATTGCTAATTAAAAGGAATAAAGTCCTGCATTTTCTAAATAAGCAAATGGGGTTTTAGGATTCTCTTAAGGAGATTCGTACTCTATTGATCCCACTATTCATGCATTCTTGAATGCATTCTATTGCAAACGAATGCAATAGAAAATGAACTATTTTTTTATTTCATGTGGAAAGATAAGCTGGCTGCCCTGACTTTCCAGTGAACAATATTTATTAAGACTATAAATTTAATATTTAGGAAGACTAAACCTCTGGTCCCAATGACCGATCCAGATTGGATCTTGCAATATTAAGTTTTTATAGAATAGAATTCCTTATTGGCCAAGTGTCATTGGACACACAAGGAGTTTGGCCTTGGTGCAAATGCTCTCAGTTATGCTGCCCATCTATCTCACTCTGCAAAGCAACTTAGGGTGCCTAATACGAGTGGGACATTCTTTATTGTTTGCATGGGCTTTTGCTTTGCAGAAATTGGACTCAAATCAGGAAAACTTCAAGCCTGAAAGATAGGCATGTATGCTGCAACTCTGGAGTTGACTTACTGTGTGCCATCAATTCCTAGTTTTCATTTCCTACTGACCACATAAGATTTTCCATACAGAGTGGTAAGAACAGTCAAGCTTATAGAACACTCGCTTCCTTTATTCAGAATACTGCTTATTAAGTGTTGCGCTTGGACCTCAAAGCATTGTTAGAGACCCCACATACCCACTCCACGGTCTGTTTCTATGCATCCCTCTGGGAGGAGGTTTCGAAGGATTTCTAGCAGGACTACCAGATTCTATAATGGCTTTGTACCCTATGCCATCCATCTGGTAAACTCACAAGATTCATTTTTCTCACCATAAACATGTATACATCCAAACTGTGTGGTTTGTGTCATATATGGGGGTATACGCATATCGGAGGTGGTGACCCTTTTGAGAGCTGTATGCCACGAAATGTCATTGTAATGTATACTGATTAGTGTACATTTAAAGTGACAATAAAGTTATTCTAAGCCTTTCTCCCAGATAATTTATCTCTGACCTGGTCCTTTAGTTCTTCCCCCATCAGTCCAGTAACTTGAGTCTGTCCATACTAAATTTGCAGATGATACAACAGTGGTGGACTCCTCTCTGGGGAGGGGATGAGTCTGCCTACTGAGATGAGGTGGACCAATGGTTGCTTTCGTGGTGTGGAGACAATAACTTGGTCCTCCTCAACACTAAAAAGACCAAGGAGCTTATAGTGGACTATAGAAGGAACAGATCAGACATCCAGCCCTTGCTTCTCAATGGAGACCGAGTGGAGCAACTGGCCAGTTTTAAGTTTCTGGGTGTTACCATAAAAGACGACCTGACCTGGGGTGCTCACATTGCAGCCCTGGTCAAAAGGCCCCAGCAGAAATTATACTACCTGAGACTTCTCAGAAAATAACTGAATGAAAAACTGCTGCTGACCTTCAACCGCTGCACCATAGAGAGTATCTTAACTTATTGCACCTCTGTATGGTTTGCCAATTGCACAGGGGCAGATAGGACAGCACCCCAGAGGGTTAAAAGATCATTGCCCAGAGGATCATGGGTTGCCCTCTCCCCTCTTTGGAAGAGCTTTATAGCTCCCGCTGCCTTAAGAAAGTTCAAAACATCCTCAAAGATCCATCTCATCCTGGGAATCCTTTTTTTGAACTATTACCATCTAGCAGACAGTACTGGATAATAAAAACAAGGACAAATAGGCTGAAAAACAGCTTCTATCCCAGGACAATAACTCTATTGAATTCTACTGCATAGTGCAATATTCATGCAATATCAGGAGTTTTCCATTCAATGTATAGAATGTGAAGAATGTGTGTTTGTGTTTTATTTTCATAGTCATAATGTACACTGAAGATTGTATTTAATTTCATTGGAAGAGGTGCAATGACAATAAACTAACCTAAACTAAACTTGGTGTCCGTCATAACCTCCTTCTCTTTCCACCTTTCTCACCTGTATAAACTGAGCATGCTGGCTGGCATGGTTACAACGCTGGGTTGGAGGTTAGCAAGCTTGGGTTCGAAACCTGAGACCTGCTGTATGTCAGGGTGAGCTCCTTTCACTCCAGCTCCTTGCAGGGACATGAAAGGACTGCCCCCCCACCAGGGTTCGGGCGGGGGGAGATGCCAGCCGCTAATCCTTTCAACCCGGAGGCACTTTAAACCCGGAGGCACTTTAAACAATGACGCCAAGACCGATACCATTTTCTCATGTGAGCTGAGCCTTTCTATTGTTTATGTGCCATTGGCAACTTTTTTAAAAAAGTTTCAAATAAGTTCAGACACAATCATCCTGTTAAAATCCAGTTTATTCCACTGCAGTTACAGAGTATAGATTTGGACAGATGGGATGTTTAAATGAGACACACCCTAATGTCACTTTTCCAGACCTCTAAAATTCTGTCCTGAACAGGGTAGAATTTTAGCAGGGAAGCCACTAGGAATTTCATGCAAGAACCAAAAGAAATTTTTAGATAGGACAGATAGAACAATCTGGCCTACAATGTGATCCTATCTAACCCTACCTCAAGGGGCTGATATCCTATCTCATCCTAAACCGCGATACAGCTTGGTTTTGGATTCTGCATGCCTCTGCCACTGTTAACTTTTGTTTTAAAATGTGTGACTTAGGAAAACCACATTGCTTTTTTACGTGGGCCTCTCAAACAGCTAAGCTTCTTAACGATATTCCAACATTCAATGCTCCTAACACAGGCCAATTCCTTCCAATGTTTAGAGGTCACAAGCCAGTTAATTCAAATGACTCACTCATATTCTGCCCGTATTCCAAAGGAGAGAACCTTGGTATGATCTTGTGAAGAACTGAAGATCAATACATTATTTATACTGCTGGGATTTGTTCTGGAGATCAATTGTGATCGTTATGTAAGTGTGACTGGCATTCGGTCGGCGCTGTCCATCATGAGGATCACAGTTAGAATCCAAGTGCCTAAAATGGAAAAAGAACAGAAACAGAAATTCCTAATTATGCATTTAGTAAGCCAGATATGAGATAATTTACTGCTCCCCAATCAATCAACAGGTAACAAAAAGAATGTTTGTTCCAACTGTAAGCCTCAAAGTGGATGAAGTCCCCTTCTGGACATCCAGTTCAGAAACACTTTCACTGTCTCCTCAGGCAATGCCAAGGCACTCCATGGGTTGTGGAGCCTCTGGAGTAAGGCTGAGGAAAAGCAGGAGATTTATGCGATTAATATTCTGATTATTGCACCATTCATAAATCTCTCGTGTAGATTTTAAACCTGAACTGTTTTTACTAGGTACTAGCTAGATACTTGTGCTTTGCTATGAAACTATGTGGTCGGGCTTAGTCTTGGGGGAGGAAAATAAGGGGGAAAAAATTCTGCCTCTGCCTACCAGCATCCATCGGTATTCATCTGGCTAACATCCTGTCAGTATGTGAGAGCGTTAAGGGCTGTTTGGAAACTGAAACAGTATTTGCTGTGTAAGCAAGGAGACAGCAAGGAGCCTGGGCATGGCCTAGCTCAAGTGTTCTGTACTAAAGCTGCTTGGTGCTGTGAAAGTAAAACTGAAACTGAAACTCCTCTCCTTTGCTTGTGTTTTGCATTTGGAAGAGATTTCTTTTCTGGTGGGGAGGGGGAGTAGAACTCCTTAGCATCAGAGCGTGTTAATAATAATAATATACAAAATACTAATAGCTCTGATGGTCATTTCTAAAAATCCTTTCTTAGTGAACACCTAGAAGCCCAAAGGAACACATGGGCCAAATTTCAAGTTTGTAGACTTTACAGTTCTGGAGATTTTGTGATGATGCATGAGTGGTATTTCACTTATATATATATATAAAAGAAAAATAATATCATAAAAATAGATAAGGAAACTAATATTACATGTAACAGCAGCGAGGATTATATTTGCATAATAACTAGACTGTGCAGAAATTGATAGATTGGCATTGAAAATTAAGCAGAAAGAAGACACAGAATAGGTATTAAATATTGAATCTATGTTACCAGTGGTTGGGGAAAAAAAGAGGTGGAGATTAAGAATATAATCAGAATTGCTAAGCAAATTAAATACCCAGACAACACGTTTAAGCACTAAGAAATGTAATTAATACAAAACCAGTAAAAATTAAAAAAAAACCTCTCTCAACAAATGATGGAATTAATCTATCTTATATTAATTATTCCATTTTCACACCCTTGGATCCCAAATCAGCCAAACCCAGATACCTGTGCTGAACCCATGATGGAATTACATTTATTTGCTTATTAATGTATGTTTATAAAACCACGCCTCTCCTCCAAAGGACTCTAGGAGGATTGCAAGCAATTAAAACTATAAAAACAATTCCAAAGAGCCATAAACCTATTGAAAAGCAAGCAAAAAACAACAAGCATGTTAAAAAAACCATAAAATACCTATAAAATTCACACCCTACAAACCCATTCAGCCATTCCACTGGCTGAAAATTTCACTTATATTTATATATACTTTTTAAGTTTCCACCAGCCAGGAAAATGTCCTTCCTTATTGTTTAAAAAAATGAATTTAATCCTCATTTTTAAAAAGAATTTAATCTACTTACTAGTTCTATCCATTTTTTTCCTCTCGTGCAAACTTCATGTCGCCAAGTTTGCTCAAAAGCGCGAGCTCTTCATGGGGGGGAGGGGAAGAGCTATTCTATTGGTCGAATCCAACGTACAGTTCCGGTAGCGCAGGTGCAATGGATGGGGGAAAATCTTCGTAAACGGGAGGGAATAACTAGCAAAACACGATTCCCACTACGGAAACCAAGATGGGACAAATACTGTGGGGGGGAAAAAAAGCGAATTATACACGTTCGCCTGTCCTCAACTCAACTCAGATTAACAGTTGGAAGGGACCTTGTAGGTCATCTAGTCCAACCCCCCCCCCAAAAAAAAAGCAGGAGACCCTACACCATTCATTCATTCTTGACTTATATTTAAAAATAAGAGCTGCAGGAATGTGAAATTCTGATTTTTCAAGCTGGCACAAGGAGAATAACAAAAAGGTGGATTCTATCATGGAGATTGTAGGTTTTGCTCTTCAGATTCCCCTCCAAGAGATAAAGGTGTTTTTTTAAACCGGATCATTATCATAAACGTTTTCCAACAAACTGCCTCTCCCATGGTCATGCATTTTGCTCATAAAAATGTATTGACATAAATAATTGGATTAAAACCCCAATTCACCAAATAAATGATAATAGCCATTTATTTGCAGCTAAACTGTTCCTTTATTCTGTTTTTGTTGGGGAATTCATAATCATCCATATACTCATCCTTGACTTGCAAATATTCAGTCACTTTTTTCAGCGTTGTCATAACTTCGAATGGTCACTAAATAAATACGTCGACAACTACCTGTACTGCTAGTCACCTAGTAAGCAAAACAACAACATTCTGATTTCTTTTTCTTGGTGGCTTCCAAATCTTAAAATGTCCTCTGACCTTCCCCCAGATCAACAACCTTATGGCAGCATTACGTGCAACCTGCATTAGAAATCATTTTTAAAAAACCTTTGCACTTTGTGTCATAAGAAGCCTTTATTATTATTATTTCAAAAGGAGCACTAAAAAAAACCTGAAATAGACAATTTTCTAAAAAAATGGAGATGAAACCCAGTTGTTCCAACCCAGAGTTTGTTTCAACCACCACATTATTTGGTCTATGAGAAAGTGGAAATTTAAAAATTAAAATATTGTTTTTACAAAAGGAAGTAAGTTTCCAAAAACCTTATTACTTGGCTGAGCCGATAATCACAGAAAGCTTTCCAAAAGAACAATTAATTTTGGCTGTTGGAAAAACCAAAAGGGAAGAGCATTCTTAACGGCTTGCACTTATCTGTACGAGTCCGATAACTATTTTTCTCCAACATGTTTTTAAAAGTTATTTTTTATCGAACATAATTAAAGTAGTGCTTTTTTCAAGCTAGCGTTGTCTCCGCTGCTGCAGAGAGGATGAGAAATGTAACTTCGGTCCTTGTTCATCTGTGTTCCAAGCCTAAGGAACACCCATCATTGAAAAAAAAGCTTGATTTTTCAGGCCAAAGAATCGTGAATCCATAGTATCAAATTCTGCCTGGAATCCTCAATCAGAATTGTCTTCACATCCATCGCTGCCATCAGGATCAGACTGAAAGAAGAAGCAAAGAAGCACTTTAATTCTTCAATGGAAATTCTCCATCATCCAGGTCATTACTGTCCCAAAAGTGGGTGTTTTTTTCCCTCAAAAGGCAACTGGACTTTATGGGGTTTTTTTCCCCCCTTGAAAATGTGTCATTTCTCATCCACGAACTGAAGAAGCTTCTTGGATGAGAAGCAAAATGTTTTGAAAGAAATAAAAACAAAAAGTCCAGTTGCCTATTGGGAGGGGACGGACATCTTTGAGACTTTAATTCTTCCCAAAGAAAACCCCCACACAAGGCAATCCGCAATATCATGGTTGGAAGTTGCAAACTTGCTTCCTTCCTAGATTTTTATCTACGGAGATCTCCATAAAAATCTAAGACGGAGACCATCTGTAGTTAAATAAAATAGATAAAATAGATATATTTTTATCTATCCATCTCCTCCCACTTATGACTGCATGACTGTAGTCTTGTTACTTGTATCCTTATAGTTTTTATTGTTTCCTAGTATGATTTGATTGCTTATTTGTACCCTATGACTCTTATTAAGTGTTGTATCTTATGATTCTTGACGAATGTATCTTTCCTTTTATGTACACTAAGAGAATCTGCACCAAGACCAATTCCTTGTGTGTCCAATCACACTTGGCCAATAAGGAATTCTATTCTATTCTATTCTATTCTATTCTATTCTATTCTATTCTATTCTAT